TCCTAAGTTCAGAGAGGCCTGATTTGATTATTGCTTATGTGATAATCGATTATCAGTGAAGCCAACTTGGACCCAAGAATCCGTAGGGCCTGATAGTCGATTATCACATATGTGATAATCGATTATCACGCTGTGCTGAAACAACTGAGGAGTCCAGCGTGGCCTGATAGTCGATTGTACTATCCTGTAACTCGATTATCAAGACACGCTGATTTCCATTTTATCTATTTGTTTGTCATCAAAACGTTGGATGTTTTAGGAATGAATGTTTACACTTCCATGTTAAATAATCGATGAACTTACAGGGTTTCAAAACATTTATATCAACGAGTACATAATCGAGAGGTCCAATAACGAAGAGTCATGATAACGTGGACACACGTATGTTTAGCCGGGTAATCCTATGAACATAACGATATAGATTATAACTAAATGTTCTAGAATTAGAGGGGACAACTACTCACCTCTAATAAAAGGGTTAACGGAACAATGGAACGAGATGAACGAACGGCGTCTAATGAACGGATGGCTTCTCGCGTAAACCTTCTTCTCCTCTCCCTCCCTTCCTCCTTGCCTCAACGCCGGAACACCTCGTCTGCTACCACTGCTTGGCCGAACACAACAAGGGAGATGGGAGTGGTGTGTGTGAATACTTGGAAGTTACAAAATGATGGGAAAATGAAGAGGAGAGGGGGGGAATTATATTGAAGGGAATTTAAGGGGAGTTAAGTGGGAAATAATGAAGAAATAATAATGGGAGTTAAGGGGGAAATGAAGGTGGCGTGTGAATGATGGGGGTTACATATATTTATTTTACTCCGTTATGTTAAAATCTGACCTGAACGGTACGCAATTTCCCCCCCGAATGGGTCCGAATTGAGATCCGTTTGCGTTTTTGGAATCAGACAGTCAAAACGAATTTAATGACATGTTCAAATAATTTTTCTAAGGATTTTATTTTTCCCAACTCCGGTCCGGAACAGTAATTAATTATTTAAAATAATCATTTCTATTAGACTGGGTTGCAGGTCATTACAGCCGAAGGTCGACGGTGGTGGTGGTCGGCTGGCGAAGGCCGGCAGTGGCAGGCGATGACCGGTGATGGTCAATGGTCAATGGTCAAAGTCTAGTCAGCACCCCTTCCTTTGATTTTTTTTCAAAAAAAATTCAAAGTGTTGAAAAAATATGGTGAGCTTTGCCTAACAATTTGGTGAGCTTTGCAGTGACCCATGGTGAGCTTTGCGTCATCTGACCGAAGCATGTCATCTCACTGGGGTCAACCCCATATATATATATACATACATACATACATACACACATATATATATGTGTGTGTGTGTTAATAATATACTCCATATTATTATTTTTTTGTTAATTATATGATAATTAAAGTTGACAAAATAAATTAGAAAGTTCGTTTAAAAGAGGGCTCGAATCTTAGGCTCCAAGTTTAATGGGAATATGATTTGATTTCTTTCAAAACATTAAGAATGGGAATGATGATTATGTTGAATACAAATAAAAGGTGAACCCTCCCCTTTTGCCTTCTTGATCTCAGGCCACAACAAAAAGAAACAAGGGAAAAAACTTCTTTTCCCTTCCTTTGCTTTGCTCCAAATATTTTATAATTTAGAAATATTCAAGGGAAAAGTTACTGACATAATTTTTTCTAGAATACTTTTCATAGTTCGTGTGTCAAAATTGAGGTCAGATACTTTTTCGGTTAGCTCTTGAACCAATTCCATCAACCATACATCGTAACTTGCTCGTCAAAAAAGGTATAATTTCTAACTATAACTTATAAGCTTCATAAGGAATCTTGGGTGGAAAGAATGTTTGGACATTACGTTTTTGTTTTTGATACCACTTTCCAACAGTGGTATCGGAGCCGACTTATGAGATTAAAGGTTTTGTAGATCTAGTTGCCTTAGAACTTTTGTTAATTGATGAATTAAATTAAATATGTATATGATTTTAGAAAATCATAAAAAAATTCATAAAAGTGTAATAATATGATTCTGGACTTTATGAAATTTGAAAATATGATTTTTGAATTTAAATTGGGATATATTATAATTTTGGTATTTATTGATTAAATCAGCTAAATCAATTTAAAAATATTTAAAAATTTCTAAAATTGAATTTTAATAAATATGAAACATTAAAAATATTATTTTAAGTGCTCAATAAAATAAAAAAACATTTAAAAATGTTTTTCCTAAGTTAAAAGTATTGTTTGATTTTGTAGTCAATTCGATTAATTGTAATATAAATACAAAGTAAATATGAAAAAATAATTTAAATAATTTTTGGATTTTATAATATGATTTTAATTGTTTTGTAAAATTAAAAAGAATTTCTAATTTTATTTTCTAATTTGGAGATTTAAAACTGCCTATTTGGAGGATAATACTGATTAAAATAAGATTATCATATTGTAAAATAGTATTTAGATTTAAATATATAATTTAAATATTTAATTTATAATTTTTGGAAAAATAGTTTTTGTAATGATTGAATTTCCTAAACAAAATTTCTGAAATTACTTAAAAAACATGTTTAACATTGATGTTCAAGTACTGAACATCATTGTTTTGGACTTGACTTTCCATTTGAATTGTCAAACGATCACCTTAACATTGATGTTGTAGAGACAACATCTCTGTTGGGAGTGTTGACTTACAGAGAAGGAAAAATTTTGTCTTAAATTTATTCCAACAGTATGGAGCCAACATTGATATCCTGCATTGAACATCGTTGTTCTTGACTCTACTTTCATAGGAAGCTTTGGCGCTAACGTTGATTTAGCATGGCCTACATCGTTGTTAGAAAACCTTCTGCCAAAACTAAGATTTCTTCAGACCTAGCCTAACATCGTTGTTATTACTCCAACATCAGTTTTGTAAAACCTACTGCCAAATCTGGGATGTCAAGACTTGGCCAAAACAGCGTTGTTGGGGTTCCAACATCATTGTTGGGTCTTGGTCGCCAGAACCATGGTTTGGGCAGTCAACGCCGAAAGCCGATGTCAAAAATAAAAGTTTTCCAAATTAAAAAACTATTTTTGTAAACACTTATTTAATGTATTTTCTTAATAAACCAAGTATAAAAGCTTAAAAACTACATCATTTAGATGAAAACCACGGGTCACCAAGTTAAAGCCTGTTTTCATGGTTTTGATCAAAGTACAAAAACCAAAGGTGGTTTTTACAAAGTTTTTGTGGGAAAACCATTTGAATATGCGAATAAGTAAAACCCAATCATAAAAAGCTAAAAAAACACTTACTAAATTTGGATGCCGAAAACTAGACACTGAATGCCGAACACCAAACGTTGTGGTGTTGTTTTGGGCGACAACCAAGTGTTTTGGAATTTAGAAACTTTTTTTAAAAGTGTTTAAATGATGCCTGAAAATGATTTGAAGGTTTTGTAAAACCATGTTTTAGTTTTCGAGAGCCAATACTTGAAACCTAATGTCGATCTTGATCACAATAAGACCGACTCAATCCTAAGTCTTAGTATTCGTCTTGGTCTTTGTTCTTAGTGTCATTGTGTCTTGTTCCAATATTTGTTCTTCGTCTTAAGATGTTGAATGAGGCTTCTTCATATCCTCGGTGGTTTGACATTTATCAAAACCTGTAAAAAACTGAACATCACTTTAGTAGAACGTTATCTTAAAGTGTGTTCCAACAATTTCCCCCTTTTTAATAGTGGATAACAAGACGGGGATATACAATAAAATGGTATTGAAGTGTTTGAAAAAAGATTCCCCCGATGTTATAAAATATTGTTTTAAGACCATGTTCCCCCTAAATATATGCATAGCCCTTATCTTCCCCCTTTTGACATTAACAAACAAATTTTAATGGAATAAAGATTATATTGAATAAGGAAAATGAGGAGTACACTACGTAAGCATTAACAAACATAAGGGACATGAAGAAAGAAATAGAGTGGAAAAAAAGAAAAAGAGATAGGAGATTCTAGGAATTCAAGGCCTAGTCCTCATACTCGTCCTCGTTGTCTTCATCCTCTTCCTTGTCATCCTCCACGTCCATTAGGTCGCCATCAACTTCCTCATCCCAATCATCATCATCTAGTGAGTCCGGGGGGGGGGGGGGGGGG